TTTGTGCAGCCTTGATATATGTATATAAACTGAAACAGCTGGACTAGTGCATCCTAAATTTAACATCCATTCATTCTTTTAATACAACAGTCATTTCTGCAGTTTTTGGGGAGGTCACCTCCTAATAAATGTCCTTACAGAAAATCTAACTGCTCTTTTTAAATCGTTACACTGACTTTTAATACTTAACTATAACAAATATCACATACTTTAACACTTTTACTAAAGTAATATTCATAAAGGACACTTTAACTTTTACCAAAGTCAGTTTTTGGTAAGATACTTGTACTTTTACTCTAGTATGACATTGTGGTACTTTATACAACAGTGGTTGCAGTGTCCTTAAACACGACACAGACTCTTTACCTGCAGAGGTTTCATCATTGTTTGGATCACAAACCCAGAAATCACATCTGTTACAGAAAGTTCTTTGAAGAAAATCAGTTTGGAGAAACAGAGTTTGGTCCTGGCTGCAGTGATGAGCTTACGGCTAGTCTGAGCAGAGTCCAGATTAAAATCAATCGTTGCCATCCTAAAACAACTGTAGCCTTAAAAAAGAAACACCATCTTAAAAACGACTGATTTTAAAATACCTGCAGAAATACTGTCATATTCCTGTTGGAGTACCTGAAGCTACAACGAAAGTGCTACAGCTAGGTGCTGCTGCTATTTACACTTGCAAAAATGATAAAGCCCGATGTAAATATGAGGCGGCTGTGGAAGAGTGGTTAGGGGAACTGTTRCRCTAATGTGAGAGTTGGTGGTTCAATTCCCCATTCTTCACATGTTGAAGTGTCTCTGGGCCAGACACTGAAAGCCTGCTGCCTCTGATGTGTCCCATCAGTGTGTGAATGGGATTTACAGCAGTGACCAGTCTCTTTACACGGATTCACCTGGATTAGGTTTGTAGTGAGACCTGAGTGCTGTGTGAATGTGTGAATGAGTGAATGAGGACACAGGTGTGCAGCACTTTGAGTGTCCTGGTTGAACAGAGAGGTGCTGTATAATTACAGTCCATGTCATGTGAAACTGACTGCAGTATAAAGGTTTATAAAACATTATATTTACAAACTGAGGTGAATACTTTGGATCTAGATCAGTTTTAAACGGCAGCAGCAGACGACTTTGGGCTTGGCTTAATGTGGTCTTGCTGTTAGCTCATCACTTTTCACAGAATAAAAATGTTTTTTGTTTTTCTAAACTGAGGGTTTTCAAAGAGTCGTCTACACCAGGTCATCCAGACTCTGAACATCATGCAAACATCCTAACTGTAATAACTACTTTACTACTGCTTTTGTCTGTGTACACAGTATAAAGTGTATTTATTACTGTTGTCCTTCATGTCATTTTAGGTTCAATTTCATTTCACAGGCTTGTGCATTGACCATAAATTCTATTCTATTCTATTCTGTGTTCAGAGCTTGTCCATATGCTGTATAATTATATATTAGTTGCAAAGCTAACTTTCACAATAACATCTGTGCTGATCAAAAAGGAAACATCAGTAGGTCCTCTGGATGGTTCTTCTTTAGTGAAACGTTTCGTCTCTCCTCCAAGAGACTTCTTCAGTCTGATGAGTTTCAGGTGAACTCAGCCTTATAAGCTCCGCCTCCACATGGACAAACAGGACCCCAATGAAACCAACACAAAGAGGGAAAAAACAAAAACGGGGGACTTTGAGCCCCGCCTGCATTCACTACATTCACATGACACGACACCTAAGAACCATAGCATCCAAACCAATAAGTCAGGTGATGGGTCACATGACCCTCTATGAACAATAGAGCTAATCAAGCCTATTGTTAGTCAATGGCCCTCTTTTACATGTGACTAACCTGTTTGTCCACCAGGTGGAGGCGGAGCTTATAAGGCTGAGTTCACCTGAAACTCATCAGACTGAAGAAGTCTCTTGGAGGAGAGATGAAACGTTTCACTAGAGAAGAACCATCCAGAGGACCTACTGATTTTTTCTACCTGGTTTACTGAGATGAATCAGGACKCCTGAGCTGATGTTGTYTAACTGACTCATACMAACACATGAACATGTTGTTTGAAGCTTCAGTTCAGCTTCAGTCACTGTTTCTGAAGGACTCTGCATGGGACCAACCTTGCACCTGCAGCAGAACGACTCTGCTGACTTTGTAGGGCTGCTGGTTGATGAGCACCGTGAGACTGCAGGTGTAGAGCCCTGCGTGGGACCTCCTCACCTCAGGGATCATCAGGGTCCCTCTGTCTGGCTTCAGAGGGGTGGGGCTGGAGTCCTGTCAGGGAGCAGGTGATGTTAGATTTAGTTTAGACTCAGAGCTGTGCGCTGGGTTTATGGCTCACCTTGTACCACTCTATCAGGCTGCCTGTCTTGTTGAAGCAGTCTAAAGACGGACAGTAAAATTCCACCTGCTCCCCCTCTGAGGCCATCCATGGGTAGGACAGCTTGTTCATGTCGGCAGAGTCAGACTCGTACACGTATAACATGATGCTCCCAGTTACACAGTACGTGTCGTTTCTGATAAATAAATAAAAAAAGACAAAAATTAGACAAAAATCACAAAAAGTTTAAAATCTAAAAAAGTCCATTTTGTTTCCTGTGAAGTTGACTTCTTTATTGTCAGTGTGCATTGTGCACACTGTTGTGATTCGTTTCCCATCCAAGTCATCTCAACTTTGCCATGCTTCTCCTCCTGCATACTTTGTCCTAGAGCTGCCATTGTAATTTATATCTGTAAAGCCCCTGTGCCAAATGATGGCTATGCCTTTTGGTGCCTCTACAACTTATAGTTTTTGAAATATTAATGTTTAATCATTTATAATGGGAGTCAGTGGGGCCTTGTAATGGTCCAATACTGCCCCCTGCTGTACTCAACTTGGTACTGCACCATAATTTAATATTTCAACTCAGTAGTTCAGTGTTTACAGTACTAAAATGAGTTTATTTTGATGTTTTACTATAATATTGTCCAAATATTGCTTTATTGTTGTAATATATTTCAAATTAGTGACAACGATTACATTGGCAATGTGGCCRCTTTCTGCACACATACACTCCAAGCCCTGGGATTGTCTCCTGCCGCAGCTTCTATAGTCTTATGGTGAACACTGTGGGCTTTCATGTGGGAGATCAGGATTCAATCCCAGCTATGAACAAACTATTTCAGTAAAACTACATATATTCAGATTGTTATATTGTCACACAATTACCCTCATTACAAATACCTGCTGACTTGACAGGCACAAGCTGGTATTAATTAGAAAACACATTTGAACTTGGTCACACTTCATTCTGCAAGTCCAATGCTGCAGGCAAAGCCATGCTGCAATGCACACTTGTTTTTACATCGTAAAAAACATTCTCTAGTTTTATTTGATTTGATAAAAGCAACAATATAATCTTGGCTTTTGTTCAGACACATCATCTGAACTGAGAAATACATTTTCAAAGTTTTAATTAAGTTCAGGTGTTTTTATTTAACTGATGTTCTCTTTAGAAACACAACTTTTCTCCTGCCCTCAAACACATTTTATAAATCATATCTGAAACTTCAGACATGAAATGAGCTCCAAAGCTGTGTTCAACGACTGATCTTTTTTATCACAGTGTTCAGTCATTTCATCAAACTGTTTGATTTTCAGCAGCCAATGTAAGTCTTACCTACAAAGACCTACTGGTCAGTTTTCACTTTTAATTTAAAAATGTAAATTATTTCAAAACAAGTTTTCTTGATAAACTTTAAGGTTGTGTGTGATAAATAACACAACATGCTTCATCTGTAAATCTGTTGTTGTCAAAGTAATCCATAAATTACTCTAAAACAAAATGTTTGTTTCTGGGAGGTTTAGGAAGAAAAACTATTTGAACAAATGTTTTCTGATGCAATTTCTGAATTAGTCAACAGAAGTGGAAAATAATTTTCAACATCAAACAAAAACAAAATTAAAACATTTATTGTTAAATCTTTATTATTTTAAACAGTTTTGTTCTGTTTTGTTGCACGTCTACGTACAGATATAGCAGAGTTTGGACAATGAGTAGAGTGTAACTCTTAATTTTGTTGCCGTCAGAGGAAAGGTGTGTGAAATGACCTGTAGGTGCAGGAGTACTGTCCTGAGTCTGCAGCCTGGGCRGGCAGGAACCACAGCTCTTTGTCCTGCTGCTGCACTCGGCCCTGGCTCTGATAGGCCARGCTCTGTGTCCCGTTGCTTCTCCTGATCAGGTACGATGCAGATGGCGGGGCGATTTTACGAACTTCAAGAACTCTCATGAAAAAAGGAAATTGTAGGATTATGGCCTCGCCCTCCACTCTGAAGATCTCCACTTCTGGAGACACCTGGTAACAGCCATCTGAGGCAGAAAACAAGAATTACATCCAGCAGCAGCTACAGTTTTACATTACAGACCCTGTGTTAGTGACAAACTGATGGTTACTGTTACATTACAGACATTACAGTCCCTGTGTTAGTGACAAATTGATGGTTACTGTTACATTACAGACCCTGTGTCACTAAATCAGTCATTAAAAACTCCTGAAAGCCTCTTCACTGGAAGTTCAACCAGAACATTTCTGAAGAAACTCCTTCCTTCTTTAAGTCCAATAACAATCTGGGAATTATTGCTTTAATCTGAGATGATAAACCACAACACTTGTCATTCTCACTCCCTCTTAATATGGCAGGTAGACAGAAACACAGAATAAAAAGCAAGCCTCAATCAGCCAATGTTTGAAAGCTGCACATCTGGATGTCCCAAGGTTTTCAGCTGACGACTTTAACAACCACTCAATTCAGGTTTTAATGAGAAAATGGTACCACTTTACAATAAGGCTCCTCTTATAGATGGCTTATAAATAGTTTATAGATAGGTTATTAATTCATCTGTAAACACTTTGTAAATAATTAATAAGGGTTTAAATGCATTAAWTAAGAACAAGAAAGAGACAAAACTGCCTGGGTTCATGCTAAACAGTGAGCCAAATCTGTTCATGTACATATTATAAAGTGTTATATTAAACATTTCACACTAGGTTAACTTGTAAGCACAATAATGTATTGGAAAGACATATTTATATTAGGTACACTATTTATTAATGATTAATAAATGTGTATAAATGTCATTAGAGAGCCTTATAAATGGTGTACAGGCTTAACAATAAGGCTCCCTTTGATAATTGTGGCTATGTAAATTACAGTAAAGTATTATATGTAAAACACGTATTTCCAATACATTATTGTGTTTACAAGGTAGAAGCCTGGTCTGAAATGTTTAATATAACACCATATGTACATGAACACATTTGGCTCACTGTTTGACAAGAAATCAGACAGTTTTGTCTCTTTCTCATCCCTAATTAATGCACTTATTAATGATTTATAAAGTGTTTACAGGTGTATTAATAACTTATCTGTAAAGTATTTATCAGCCATAGTTTGATCAGTTTGAAGTGATGCTCTGTTGAACAGTTATTAGTCCTGACATCAGCCAGAGAAAATACAGGCTTTATATTAGTTTTTGTTTTTAAGTATATAAAACAATACTTGCTCAAAAAATCAGACTGATATGAAAAAACATCAAATAACCAAAGAATAATAAATACCATATTTATCCATGTATGATACGACCTCTTGTATAATATGACCTCATGTATAATATGATCTCATGTATAATAAGATCTCATGTATAATATGACCTCATGTACTAAGACGATCTCATGTATAATAAGATCTCATGTATAATATGACCTCATGTAC